TTATGAAGTCTCAAGGTTTCAGCCGGAGTGAGCGTGATCCTTGTGTTTACACAAAGGATATTTCAAAAGGTAACTACATATATCTGTTATTATATGTAGATGACATGTTAATTGCTGCAAAAGACATGTCAGACGTGAGAAAACTAAAGGAGCAGTTGAGTCTAACATTTGAGATGAAGGACTTGGGAGCTGCAAGAAGAATTCTCGGTATGGATATAGACAGAGATCGGGTAAAGGGAACATTGTGTTTATCTCAGACCAAATACTTGAAGAAAGTGATTGAGAACTTCAGAATGAGTGATGCTAAGAAATCTTTCACACCAATCGGTGGACACTTTAAGCTGTCTTCAGTCAAAGGCGATGAAGAAGGTATAAATACTGAGTTAATCCCTTATGCCTCTGCTGTAGGGAGCATAATGTATGCTATGGTAGGCTCTTGACCTGATTTAGCTTATGGAATTGGGCTTGTAAGTCGTTTTATGAGTAAGTCTGGTCAGATTCATTGGGAAGCTGTTAAGTGGCTGCTTAGATACATCAAGGGTTCCGTCAATACTCATTTGGTGTATGCAAAGCAGAAGGACTTTCAGATTCAAGGGTATTATGACTCTGATTTTGCAGCAGATTTAGATAGGAGAAGATCGATTTCTGGTTATGTTTTCACAGTGGGAGGAAATGTTGTTAGTTGGAGGTCAAGTTTGCAACAGGTTGTAGCATTGTCTACCACGGAAGCTGAATACATCTCCCTGACAGAAGCTGTGAAGGAAGCAATCTGGTTAAAAGGGTTGCTTGAAGATTTTGGTGTGAAACATGATGCCGTAAAAGTATGGTGTGATTCGCAAAGTGCTATATGTCTATCGAAAAACAGTATGTTTCATGAACGCACTAAACACATAGCTAATAAGTATAACTTCATCCGGGATATTATAGATAATGGTGAGGTTGAAGTTCTTAAAATTCACACTAGCAGGAATCCAGCTGACGTTTTGACGAAAGTGGTTCATGTCGGTAAGTTTAATGCTGCGTTAGACTTGCTGAACATTGCTCAAGCTTGATAAAGCTGAGGCGTGCTAGGTGGTGTAAATCCGAAAGATGAAATCCATGGAAGAGTTTGAAGATGGAAAAGAAGAAGAAGACGATGTTTCGATATTAGGCCAAGGTGGAGTATGTTGAAATATTGGTCTAATATAAACATATTGGGCTTAGGAGTATTAACATATTTTAGTCGGTTGTATTAGATATGTTAAGTATCCTATTCTCATTGTAAACCCTTATGTATAAAAGGGTAACGCCGTTAGGTGCTTAGGGTATCGAGAAACACAATAACTTGTAAGCTTTCTTCTCTGACGAGGCTCTCTGTTTTTTGAGACTTGTCTCCTTCGTTACTAGTGGATTTTGTCGGGTTGAGCCTGGCCCGTGAGACGTAGCTCTCCACATCGGAAGTGAACTCAGGGTTAACAAATCTCTTGTGTCGTCTTTCTTTATTGCTGTTACTTTCGTTGTTTCGTATTGAGAGAATGCGATTTAAGAAAGAGATAGAGAGCTTGTGTCGTTGATAGTCAAAGGCAAGAACCACGGTCGTATTGGGGTGCAAGAGTGTCGTTAACTAATTTGCTTCAATTCATTTGCACTGTTAGTTAATAGTAATTTGTAATCTCATTTTTCTTAAACACACCTCTTAAAATTCAATCTATCAATTTTCTACTTCTTAGAATTTTTTTTTTTTTTTTTTTTACTTTTGCTTATTCTTTGCTTATATTTTGCTTATATTTTGCTGATAGTTTGCTTATATCTTGCTTATATTTTTACTATATTTTGCTAGTTTATTTTTCAATTAACTCATTCTTTAAATTTACAGATTATGATTTTATGGTACTTGGTAGCGTTGTAGTTATGATGTATGTTGAAATGAATCTTAAACTCTCATGGCTCATCAAAGCTAACCTGAATCGATGCATAACCCATAACATTATAACTATATAAGTTATATTTCTTACAAGAACAACAACCTAAAACCTTACCCAACCGGCCAACCCTTTCAGTTTGAATTCCCGGTGATCAAAGTTCCATTGTTCTCTCCCATTCCTCAAGAACTTCCATTAACTTGTTCCTTTACAAGAAAAGCATAAAACTTATGGTAGAGTATGAGGGCATCAATGCCGGTTAAACTCAAACTGACAAGTCAAGTTATTTTTCAGATTGTTTTTAGATTCACCACGAAGTTTTGGAAGACGAGATAAATCAATATATAAAGTTTTGGAAGACATGATACATCAATATTTGATGTTTCTCTTAAAAGTCCAACCTGGAATATAGTGAGATAAAAGAAGAGAGCATGTGGATAAAGTGAAACCAACGTACATAGACTTCAGAAGATATGGCGATAGATCTTTGGTTAGAGTGAGCAGTGGAAATTTTGGCTTAGGGACACATCAAGCTGCTTCCTTGAGGAATCATTTATAATACAAGCTTGTATTGGTTTTCCATTCACAAGAGATGCTTTTGAAAGTACCATCATCGTCTTTATAATAGCTCACTAAAGAAGCATTCTCTTATTTCAAGCCATTAATGTCGATGCCAACATGGTTATCATTCATGTCATCAAATTCACAGCTCTTGAGAGTATCAAGCTTAACTGCTACAATATGATTTGAGAAATCTTCATTGTTTGCGATATTAAGGAGCTCTAATACTGTGAAAGCAGACTATATGGCAGGCCTTAATGGGACATATGGCAAAGGCAATTCCATGGCCACTACATGTTGGAATTTGAAAGACTGTCAGCAAAAACAAATGTGGTGGAAAAGGAGGAAATAGCTAATTGTGAAGTTATACAAACAATGTAGTGCCTACAAATTTAGATGAGGTTTTTGGCAATATTTTATAATGTGATTTTTTAAATTAACTTAATTATTTTTTATAATTATTAAATTTATTAATATTTTATAAATTTGATTTTTTTTACAATTTGCTGAAAAAACAGAATGTACAAATTAATTTATAAACATTATTTATAAAAATATATATGTGAATAGAACAATGAAACAAAATCTTATTATATAAAGTTGGATGCATCAATATTAGTAATTATTATGACACGTGACAAATCATTTGATTCAGATTTTGACACATGTCACTATTAAATTAAAAATAAATATAAATATTAATTTAGAAAATATCACTATTGTTAAAAAAATATATAAGAATATATAACACTTTAATATGTAAAAAAAGTAATAAATTTAAAAAATAATATTTCAATTCAGAAAATGAAACTTGTTTTTTAAATAAAAGTAAAAAAATAATCATAAAAGAAAAAGAAAATATTACTCATATCTTTATAATAAATAAAAATATATAATAATAAATATTATATAAAGTTGGATACATCAAAATTAGTAATTTGTGACACGTGGCGAATCATGTCATTGTGCTTTGAAAGAGATTTCAAGTCATATGATCTAGTCAAGCTGTTGAAGATCATGCCCACTAACGATATCTTATTATATAAAGTTGGATGCGTCAAAATTAATAATTCACAAGATCGTGACACATGGCAAGTTAATTTATTAGATTTCAACATGTGTCACGATAAAATTAAAAATAACTATAAATTTAGAAAATATAACTATTTCTTTGAAATATATAACAAAATTTATATGTTAGTAATTCACATGATCGTGACACATATCAAATTTTTCGATTAAGATTTTGATACGTGTTACGATTAAATTAAAAATAAAACATAAATTTAGGAAATATCATAATTATTAAAAAATAAAAAATAAAATAGAACTACTATAATATCAAAAAATGAATATACTAAAAAAATTATGTATTTCAACTAAAAGGGAAAAACAGTTTAAATACATAAAAAGGTAAAGACTAATCCTAAAAGAAAAAAAAATAATTACTCACATCTTTATAAATACCAAAAAGTTATAATTTTTCTAGGCTGATTCTTCTATTAAACTCGAATTAATTGGATAAGATGAAAAACTAATGAAACAATGGAAAATAGTTAGAATCGCGGAAGCAAAATGAAGGAGAGAGCCAATTTCGCTCTGATATCATTTTACTAAATGAGATTCTCGATGAGAGTTTGTTAGAAAAAAAATCATATTTGTGAAACGTACAAAAGTAAATACAGAATGACAGAGAAAACCAGTTTCTTAATCAGTTTTATTATAAGTGGTTTTGCGAAAATGTTCTTGATCTTATATTTTTATGTTCACAGTGATCTAATTTTGTTTCATACATTTTCATGTTCATTCATATTTATGAAAAAATATAAAAGTAAACATAGAATGAAAGAGAAAGTCATTTTCTATAATTAATTTTATTATAAGTGGTTTTACGAAAATGTTCTCAATCTTACATTTTTAATGTTCATAATGATCTAATTTTGTTTTTTACTTTTTTATGTTATTCATTTTTGTGAAAAATATAAAAGTAAACATGGAACAAATGAGAAAGCCAGTTTTTCCAGTCAGTTCTATTATTTCTAAATCTTAATTTTTAATGTTCACAATGATCTAATTTTATTTTCTATTTTTTATATTCAGTTTCTTTTAACGGATTATGTAATAGTTAATATAAATCAATGTATATAGGGATCAGAGTTTAAGTTAAAATACATGAAATGTATATGAGTCATTTAATCAAAAATTACCATATTTTAACTAACAAAAGGTTGAATATGAATACATAACTAAATATATTTAAAGCCATTTATTTTTATTTTCAATTTATTATTTACAAGTTTTAAGATAATTTTCAAATCCTTGTGTACACAAGGATCCTAATCTAGTATGATAAAGTTTGTGAGTTTCTGAAATTACTGAACCGGGTTTGCCATGGTTTGATTTTTAATCTAATCCGGTTGAAGTGGTAAAAGTAAAAGAAAAGCGGTTGAGTTTGGTAATGCTACTAAACTAAATTTTCGTTGTATAATCAGAAACCATTGAAGTAATTATTGGTAATATACTTAAATTCATTTATCCTCAAAACTTTCCAGTTACTACTTATGTTTGCATATAATGACACAAAATCAAGTAAGATCATGCAATGAGACGATGCTAGAGCATTTATGAATAAATCAAACATATAAATCTTAATTTTATTGATTCATAAAATCAAGATTGGATTTAAAAACCTCAAACTAAAACTCCAAATCATGGCAGAAAAGAAAATTGATCCGGTCTTAGGATTCAATTCCAGAAACTCAAACTAACTAGAACCTGATCTCTAAACCCAAAACTTCCACGTTGTATAACTTGAAACCAAACCTGACCAACGAGCTAAGATTTGATAGAAGGATCATAGATCTGACCAACGAACAAAACAGTTCCAGTTTTGTCTTCTCTAATCAAGAACAAAAATGGATGATCTGCCACAAAATCTACATATCTAGGCTTGCTCACGCAGCACCCACCAGAAAAAAAACTATAAAAGTTGCAGCAGCAAGCTTTATGGTGCAATGGCAGTGAATTAAATCCCAACTCTTTACCGCGTAATCCGTCGCCGATCTTAAACTTTGGGATTCTGAATTGACTAACAGATTCTTTGAAACGTGGAATGTGACTATCCAAGAATCCAGAAGTAGATGCCATCGTCTTCACAAGATCATCCAATCCATCCTTCTTGTCCGGAAGATAGAAATACATCGAGAAGCTGCCACATTTGGTATCGTCACCAAAGCCATGTCCATAAGAGAAGCCGCTGTGTTTGTTGTCACCAAAGCCATGAAGATAAGGGAAGCTGCCATTGGCGTCTATGCCTTGGCGTTTGGTATCTTTGCCGCCTTGTCGATAAGGAATCCTGAGGACCTTGAAACCATCATACGCCTTTATGTATTGATCCTTGCGGCTGCTCATGAATGGCACAGACACTGAGGTTCCATTGAGAAGGTGAAACTCTTCGTCTCTCGTGTGGGACTTGTTGAATGGAACTTCCCATTCTCCTTTGAAGTACAATGCGTTTCCATAAACGATATCGGTTTGCTCTGTAATGGATCCACGAGGAAGAAGATCTTTGATGAGACCATTCGTGTGATTGGAAGCCCATGCATTCAGCTCCACACGCACTTTTTCAGCCTAATTTTTCATTATCACCCAAACAAACAAAACAAAACAATGATGAAGACCAGAATTTGATTTTTAATTGAATTAAAGGAGAGATTGAGAGTACCTTTGATCGGAAACCTACGAGATCGAAACTAGCCTTGAAGATATTCTCGAAGAGATCCTTGAACGCTGATGAATCAATCGGTAGCTATTTCTGTTGGAAAGAAAGAACCTTTGTGAGTGATGGAAAAGGTGTTTTAAAATTTTAGAGATAAATGGACAAATTTAGAAAGAGGAAAGCTTTGATGAGAACTTAAGAACTTTACTTCTTATTAATTTCTTTTAGTTTTTTTTGGTTACAAATGAGAGAGAAAATGGCTATTTATAGCCTTCAAAGTACAAAATATCTAAAATATTTTAATCCTAAATCTAGAGGATTCTATCAAATTATCTAGATTATTTTGTTACAATTATTTAGAGATTTCTCTAGATATTTATTTTCTATAATTTTCTTAGAACATTTTAAGAAGGTGGAAGTATTAATTTTTCTAGAGAACACTCTAGAACATTGGATTAAGTATAATTGGATTTTGGCTCAATTATTATAACTTGATCCAAAATCAAGTTTATTTCTCAACACCCCATCTTAAACTTGATTTTGCTACTCCAAGCAAACTCCTCATCTTGTTAAAGTCTTGGCGCTTAAGTGGTTTGGTGAAGATATCGGCTACTTGATCGTTCGTCTTCACATACTCCAACTGCACATCTATCTTGGTAACACATTCTCTAATATAATGATAGCGAGTATCAATGTGCTTACTTCGATCATGGAAGACGGGATTCTTTGCCAAAGCTATTGCTGACTTGTTGTCCACAAAGATCTTTGTCGGCTCCTCTTGTGGCAAACTTAACTCCTTTAATAAGTTTCGTAACCAAATAGCATGGCAAACACATGAAGTAGGCGCTACATACTCTGTTTCACAAGTGGAAAGGATGACAATCGGTTTGCTTCTTCTACATCTATGTGAAAGTTGTTTCTCCAATAAAAATACAAAACCACTTGTGCTTTTCTGATCATCTACGTCTCCACCCCAGTCGCTATCGCTATATCCAACAAGCTTATAATCATTAGAAATAGAGTAATACAAGCCAAAATCTATCGTACTTTTGATATAGCGAAGGATCCTCTTAGCTGCCTTGAAGTGAGTGGTTGTTGGATCCTCCATATATCGGCTCACTACGTTAATTTATTTATAGTTAATTGTATTATTTTTAAATTTTAATATTTTTTGTTATTTGTTTATAAATTTAAAGTACTGAATATTTGGATTCTTTTTTTCTTTTAATTTTAGAGAAATATTTTTATATAAAGTAACAAATTCACATATATTTTATATATGTATTTTTAAGGAATCAAAGTTTTTTTTACATTTTAACAAATATATTTTTAGTGTACTTTTTAATATTACAAATCTTTTTTAGAAACTATATGTATTATAAAATCACACTCCAACCTTTTTTATATTATATATATTTTTGGTAATATTTTTTTAAAATGTCAAGTTTTTATCATAATTCTTTGTTTCTAAATTTTTAATAATAAATGTATAGTTTTGTATTTTTTTTTTGAAAGATTGCTTACATTTATTTTTTACTTCATACCTTTTTGAAAATATAATTTTATACAAATAGTTTAGAAAATTGTATATTTTACTAAATTTTAATATTGTATATTTTGATATATAACCTTTTTAACACTATAAAATGTATTAAAAATTGTGTATTTTATTATTTTTCAGTTTTTATTTTTTTCTATAAATAATTAGTAACAACAATCCTAGAAAATTTTGTAAATTTTTTCATATTTTTATCATAATTAGTTTGTATATTTTTATTTAGAATTTATTGTTAATAATTTAAAAAACATAACTTTTTTTTTAATAATTATAAATAATTTTGATTGTTTACATTATTTATTATTTTTTTTTATTTTATATATTTTACTTATAATTATTTTAAATAAAGTTTTGTTTAGTTTCTAATATACCGCAGATTAAGCCTGTGAAATGGGAGAGATTCTATTCCTAATTTCTTAAATAAAAATTGGATAATTTGCTTTATTTACAAAACAAAAAACTATAATCTGTAAACTAACCAATGTTTTTAAGCATTTAATTAGTTTTTTTTGATTATTCACCAAATTCACCCATAAAAGTTCGTATATTTGAGTTGTATATATAGCGAAAAAGCGTCGACAACTCAAAACAGCTTAAATTACAATGGTCTCTTGGGTTTTATCCATTTCTCCACAAAGTTGGCTACTTTCAGAATTTCCCGTCTCTGATTCTCGAAATTGTAAACCGAAGCTCGTCGATCGTCGCTACACGAGTGTCCGAGGAGGCTTATCTGTTTCCGTCAAGAGACAATCGACGGCGAAGACTCGCTGTTTCACTGAGACAAAGCGTCGAACACCTACCGTGCAATCCAAACGTGAATTCTGGGAAGACCCAGACGATGGTAGCGACAGTGAAGACGAAGAAGAAGAAGTAGACGATGATGGTGTCGGGAACGATTTGGATTTCGAGAGTGATTGGGAAGAAGACTCGAGAGCCCAAAAGCTTACTACTGACAATTACGAAGAAGAGCTTGCAAGAGGTTCTTCTTCTTTCAGTCAAAAGCTTTCCTCTTTTTCTCCGAGTTAAAATTAGAATTATCCCTTCTCAATTGTTTAGTTTCAAAGCTGTAATTTTGTGTGTGTCTTTGTATTTGCAGAGGTTGAACAACTTCTTGAACCTGAAGAAAGAGCGATTCTGCAGCAAAATGAGAAACCAAACCTTCAGATGATTTCAACAGTGAAGTTTTCAAACTGATTTTGTATTCAATATCTCATATCAATCATTTGCTTTTGAGTGCCTGTGGTTTTGATTCACATGGTTTATATTGCTTCAATTGTGTAAATTTGCAGAAGAAGTGGAAGCCACTTCAGACTCTTGCTCTGTCAATGCAGATTCAGTTAATGGATAACCTCATTGCAAATGGACTAGACATTGATGATGTTGATAAGGTTTTTTTGCTTTAAATCATGACATGTTGCTGTTGCTAAACCTGGTTTCTAATCTCTTACCATAACATTGACTGAATCTACAAAGAAATGCAGGACAACCAAACCGCTCTTCATAAAGCAGTCATTGGTAAAAAAGAAGCAGTGATTAGTCATCTTTTGAGAAAAGGAGCAAACCCAAATGTTCAAGATCGGGTGAGAACTTATCTGGTTCCCATATACTTAAAACCCATTTCAAGAAAAAAGGTTAAAACTTTCGTGAACCGGATTGTTTGAAACATTCAGGACGGTGCATCTCCGCTTCACTATGCAGTTCAAGTTGGAGCCTTGCAGACTGTAAAACTGCTGATCAAGTACAACGTAGACGTCAATGTTACAGATAATGTAAGTAGCAACGATCCAAGCCATCAAATATTTTTTCAGATTTTGGGTGAAACTTTCTTTGTTCTACAGGAAGGATGGACTCCTTTACATATCGCTGTACAAAGCCGGAACCGAGACATTACAAAGATCTTGTTGACCAATGGTGCTGATAAAACAAGAAGAACAAAGGTGTGAATGGTGAAAACATATCGGAAAAAAAGAAGCTTTGTTCGATAACCGATCTATTTGGTTTTTGATCTTGCTGTTTTTTTACAGGATGGGAAAGTAGCTTTGGACATGGCACTGTGCTTTGGAAGAGATTTCAAGTCATATGATCTAGTCAAGCTGTTGAAGATCATGCCCACTGACGATGTATAGTAAAGAGTTTATGAAATTACTGAACCGGGTTTGCCATGGTTTGATTTGTAACCTAATTCGGTTAAAGTGGTAAAGGTACAAGAAATGCGGTTGAATTTGGTAATACAACTAAACTAGATTTTTGTTGTATAATAATACCATTGAAGTAATTATTGGTAATACACTCAAATTTATATATCCTCAAAACATTCCAGTTACTATTTTTTTTTTTTTTTTCAACTGATTTCTTTATTAATTACGAGAATATGAATCGTGTATTACAAGGTTCATAAGAGAGCTAGGACAACAACGAAAGAGTTGTACCTGCCGAATCATGATTACCTTCAAAAATGAGAAACATCATAATTGCATTTAACCCATCTTCTAGCTGGATTTTGCCAATGGTCATATTGGGTTGAATGGTATGAATCTGCAGATTTGATATGGTGAAGATGTTTGGCGTTGCGCTTTTATCCATTCTTTGGTGTCTGTAATAGCACGATTAAAAGTTTCATATGCTTCAATATGTTTCCTTCCCAAGAGCAACTCATTCCTGCTTTTCCATATCCTCAAAAGAATCCAAAAAGGAGATAAAAGGAAAATTTCAGGTAGAGAAGTATTTCCATGAAGATTATTAGATGTTTGGGCTTATCTTCTAAAAGAATTGCTTTGCCTCAAATATATTGGATAGGAATGTCCGCATATCTCCATACTGTTTCGGCATACTTGCAGTTGAAGAAAACATGATTGCTGGTTTCTTCCTCAGAACAATATCGAGTACATATTAGATTCACGTTTATATTACGACGACGTAGATTTGCAGACACTCCAATTGCACGTGAACCCAATCTCCAGATAAAATGCTTTAGTTTTGGCACAATGTGTAGTTTCCATATTCCTTTTGCCATGTCAGGATAGTTCGTTACCGGCGGTTGAGGTTCTTCCATTTTCTCATTCTGTTGTGAAGCTAACCAGTATCCGGATTTGACGTTGTAGGATCCATCTCTCGTATAGCTCCAAATATAATCATCATTTCTATGAGTTGTAGGAAGATATAGCTTTTGGATTCATCCCATTGTTGTGTGAGTGGGTTGACGAGAGCATCGACATGAGTCTCGGGATCTGCCATAGTTGTGAGGGCATTTCTAATTTTGTGTTTTTACCATTCCCAATTCGTCTTTGCATCCCCTGTTGGCGTAGCTGGCACTCGAATCGAAGAGAGTTCCATCCAAATAATGGTTGTTTTCCCACATATGCTGATAAAACGTCTCCATCTCTAAAATATCGGCCTTTAAGCATTTTATGGAGAAGGGAGGATGGTCGTTGCATTATTTTCTAGACCTGATTGGTTAGAAGTGCTTGATTAAATCTGTAAAGATCTCTGAAACCCAAACTGTCTAGACATTTTGGTTTTGACATTTTTTTCCAAGAAACCTAAGACATATTTCTTTTCTCTTGTGTCGAACCCCACCAAAATCTTGAAATCATACTATCTAATTCTGAACAGATTTCCTTTGGAAGTTGAAAACAGTTCATAGAGTAAATGGGCATGGCATAAGCAACTGCTATGGTTAGTATCTTTATTCCAGCATTTGAGAGAAATCTTGTTTGCCAACCTGTTACCGTATTTCTGACCTTTTCCTGATGTATTGTAATATATCCTTTTTCTTCTTACCGTTGGTAGCCCCAAATACTTTTCACCGCCCCCTATGTTTGGTATATGAAGGATTGCTTTTATGCTTTCTCTTGTGTGATGGTATACATTTTCTCTGAAAATAATTACTGATTTATCCATATTGATCATTTGACCAGAAGCTGCAGCATATGTGTCAAAAATTGTAAGCAGATTATGACTGTTCCGATGATCCGCTTGGAAAAAGAACAATGAATCATTGGCAAATAGCATATGAGAGATCATTGGGCCACCCAGACTTACTCATTCTTTGTCTCGCTCAGCTTTTGAGAGAAGTGAACTCAAGACATCAGAACATAATATGAATAAATAAGGAGATAACGGAACACCTTGTTGTAGGCCTCTTGTTGCGTTAAATTTACCATACGGACTCCCATTAATAAGCACTGAAAATAATACAATACGCACACATTTCATGATCCAGTCGATCCAGATTTCAAAAAAACCTTTCTTCCGGAGTGCTGCTAAAAATTGCCACTATCCAGTTACTACATATGTTTGCATATAACGACATAAAATCAAGTAAGATACGTAAGATCATGCGATTAAGGCCCTGTTTGTTTCCTTATCTGGACATTGCATCTAGTTACAACATTCAGATACTATGTTTGGATGCAACATCCAGATGTTGTTCGTTTGTGTTTTTGATTAATGTATCTAAATATTGTAACTGAATATATTTATGTTCGTTTGTGTATCTGTATTTGCATATAGATGCACTTAACAATAGAAAAATTAAAAAGCATATTATACCATTTTTTTAGGAAAATAAAATTTCAAATTTTTTTTAAAAACAAATAATCTTTAAAAATTTACGGCTTTGGCGGGAAACTGAATTTTATAGTTTTGACGAAAAATATAATTTACGGTTCAACGATTTTCCCGTAATTTTATGTTTTTGGCGGGAAAATAAAATTTTAAGGTTTTTCCGTAATTTTACGGTTTGAATGAGAAAATGAAAATTTGATGTTCTTCGTAATTTTACAGTTTTGTCAGAAAAAATGAAATTTTACAGGTTTCTCGTAATTTTACGGTTTTGGTGGAAAACTAAAATTTTACGGTTTTGGCAGGAAACAAAATTTTATGGTTTTGGCGAGAAAACAGAATTTTATAGTATTCTCGTGATTTTACAGTTTTGGCAGGAAAACAGAATTATACGATTATGGTGGGAAACATAATTTTACGAGTTTTTTTGTGAAAACGGAAATTTATGGTTTTGGTGGGAAAATTTTTTTTACGATTTTTTCGTAATTTTACGGTTTTGGAGGGAAAATGGAATTTTATGATTTTGGTGAGAAATGGAATTTTAAGGTTTTGGCGGGAAAACAAAAATTTACAGTTTTGGCGGGAAAATAAATTTTATGGTTTTCTCATAATTTTATGGTTTTGACGGGAAAATAAATTTTATGGTTTTCTCGTAATTTTCTAGTTTTGGCGGAAAAACAGAATTTTACGGTTTTGGGGAAAAACAAAATTTTACGGATTTTTCGTGATTTTACGGTTTTGGTGGGAAAATGTATTTTACAGTTTTGGGAAAACGGAATTTTACGTGATTTTACGGTTTTGCAGGGAAAATGTACTTTTACGATTTTGGCTAGAAAATATAGTTTTACGGTTTTGGCGAGAAAATAAAATTTATGTGTAAATTCTTTATTTATTATTTTGTTGGTACTTTTACTATTTATGTGTAAATTTTTTATTTATTATTTTTATATATATATTTGGTATTAGCGTAAAATTAAATGGATTATAAATCATTTCAGTTATAATTGTATATAAAGCTATTTTAGACTTTTGTCATTTTGGATGAACTTTAGTGCATTCAAACTCTTATTTCAAATGCATCCAAAATATTTAGATATTGGGATGAACTTCATTATGCATCTAGATTTTTTATCTGGATACATATCTTAATTGGACATATATGAACAACATCCCAAAAGTGCATCCAGATACTGCATCTAGCTTAGGAAACGAACAGCACCTAATGAGACGATGCTAGAGCATTTATGAATAAACCAAACATATATAAATCCGAATCAATTGATTCATAAAATCAAGATTGGATTAACCTCAAACTGAATTATAAAGCTCAAACTAAAACTCCAAATAATGGCAGAAAAGAAAAATGATCCAGTCTTAGGATTCAAATCGAAAAACTCTTTACCTAACCAAACTAACTGCTCCATGGACTCTTAAACTAACTAGAATTGTATACCTTGTAACCAAACCTGAGAGCTACGATTTGATAGAAGGATCGAAGATATGACCAATGAACAAAACAGTTCCAGTTTTGTCTTCTCTAATCAAGAACAAAAATGGATGATCTGCCACAAAATCTACATATCTAGGCCTGGCGCACCCAAAAACCGTAGTTGCAAAAGTTGCAGCTTCAGCTTTAGCGCCTTTTTCATCGATCTCCACACAGGCTTTATGGTACAAAGAAACAACGTCTTCTTCTCTCTGTCTTTGGCACAAATCCCAACTCTTCACCGTTTAATCCGTCAGCGATCTTAAACTTTGGGATTCTGAATTGACTAACAGGTTGTTTGGAAAATAGAACGTGATCATCCAAGAATCCAGAAGTAGATGCCATCGTCTTCACAAGATCATCCAATCCATCCTTCTTGTCCGGGAGATAGAAATACATCGAGAAGCCGTCGCGTTTGGTATCGTCACCAAAGCCATGTCCATAAGAGAAGCTGCGATTGGTAACATCGCCGGCTTGGCGTTTGGTATCTTTGCCGCCTTGTCGATAAGGTATCCTGAGGACCTTGAAACCATCATAAGCCTTTATGTATTGCTTCTTGTAGCTGCTCATGAATGGCACAGACACTGAGGTTCCATTGAGAAGGCGAAACTCTTCGTCTCTCGTGTGGGACTTGTTGAATGGGACTTCCCATTCTCCTTTGAAGTACAATGCATTACTTTCGGTGCACGTATTCCCGCTACAAAACAGAATCGTCTAAAGGCACAACTTGGGATCACAAAACATGGTGGGGGTGGTAAATACTTAGACTTGCCTGAACAATTTGGTTGAAAAAAGAAAGATTTGTTTACAAATATTACAAATCGAGTCACACAAAAAACAAGCTCATGGAGTTCCAAATTACTTTCACATGCTGGCAAAGAAGTACTTCTTAAATCAGTTGCTATGTCTATACCCGTTTATTCCATGACTTGCTTTAAACTACCAAAACATGTAACATCCGAAATTATGAGTATTCTCCAACGATTTTGGTGGGCCAAAAATTCACAGTCTAAGGGTATCCCTTGGGTGGCCTGGAAACGTCTTCAGTTTTCAAAACATGAAGGTGGCCTTGGCTTTAAGGATTCGGAACTATTCAATGATGCTTTACTCGCGAAACAGGCTTGGCGATTCCTCGATCAACCTAACTGCCTTTTCTCACGAATGTACAAAACTTGCTATTTTTAAAGATGACCATGTTCTAGAAGCCAAATCTCACCCTTACCAATCCTATGGTTGAAATTCTTTACTGTCTGGGATTAAATTGATCAAACAGGGTTCTCGGTTCATTGTTGGCGATGGTACACATATTCGGGCTTTTCAGGACAATTGGCTTCCGACACACCCTCCCCGACCAGCCATCCTCCGAAATACTACGCCAGACTCTACACTTGTCTCCGTATTTCTTAACAATGCAAATTCTCACAAACAATGGAATGACACTACAATTCACTGTACCTTAGCCAACACTCTAATTCTGATCGTCTTTTTTGGAATTATTCTAACAATGGCAAATATTCAGTTAAATCAGGTTACTGGTTCTTACGACATCATCCTGAATTTCAAGCTACAGCACCAGCAATACCTTGTGGTGATCCCCTCTTCAAACGTAAGATATGGAGGCTTTGTATTATGCCTAAACTCAAACATTTCTTTTGGAAAATCCTATCTAAAACAATTGGCACCACGAGTAGACTTCAAAGCCGGGGCATTTCTATTGACCGTACATGTAAACGTTGTGTGAATTCCCCATTAGCATTCCTTACTCGGCCATCTTAAGAAACAGAGGCTACTATACGGCTGCTCCTTGCCGCACAAGATTCACTTGATCTTTCAGATAATGATAAACTCTTACCTTTATGGATTTTATGGCGCATTTGAAAATCTCGAAACTCCCTTATATTTCAACACAAGAGACCTAAACCAATTAGTGATGTAAACAAAGCAAAGGCGGACATTGCTGAATGGCTACAAACAATCTCATCACAGGATACGACCCTCAGTACATCACCCCTGGCAGAGGTTTGGCACCGTCCTCCCCTTAACCACTTTAAATGCAATTTCGATGCTGCATACAACGCCACAACGCGCCAGTGTTCAGCGGGTTGGTTAATACGTGACTTCAAAGGAAAATGCCATTTCTGGAGCTCTGTCAACTTAGGATATGCTGCGTCTACCACAGAAGTCGAAGGAAGATCATTACTGATATCACTACAAAATTGCTGGCATTTGGGATATCGAAATGGAATCTTTGAAGGCGATTGTCAGATCCTCATAAATCTACTTACTAACGCAAATCACGATATTACAATATATAATCTATTATTAGATATTCGCTTTTGGATGGCCAAATTCCTAAACATTCATCTTAGCTTTGTGAAAAGAAACTGTAATGAAGAAGTTCACATTGTCGCTAGAAATAGTCCTATTTTATCGGGATATTCTCTTGGCAGTGACTCATCGCCAATATGGTTACTCCCAACTTTGTATTCTGATTTGAATTTTCTAATATGAAATATAAATATGATTTCGATAAAAAAAATAATAAAATTATAAACATTTAATAATAGAAAATCACGATAAATTAAATAGAAAATGTTATAGATTTTAATAGAAAATAAAGGTAAAAAATATTAATTAAGATTTTAAAATATTTCTTTAGATAAAAAATGCAAATATGGTAATAAAATAAACGGAAAAACACTAAAATATATAATAATTTATTTAATTTTTAATTTTGGTCCGCACCCATGTGTATGTATATTTTTTTCAATAAACATAATTAGTCGTAATATTTAAGTATTGATTGATTTTCTTATACATTATGTAAACGTTATGTTTTTATATATATATATATATATATATATATATATATATAGTTTTAGTGTTCAGCAACAATCACACAAATGTTTCCTATCGTTTTGTGTCTTTTGAAATTTTTTTATTTTTCCTAGCGTTTACAGTAACATATAATTACAAATGTAAAAGTTATATTAAATAATAATTAATTTTTATAATATGTTTTGAATATTATCTATACTATACTTTCTTTTTCTCTTATACAATATAATCTTGCCAATATATATATATATATATATATATTTATTTATTTAAGTATATATTTTTTCTTGACCTAATGCTAATTAAACCAAAATAAATTTTATCATATTTACTTATCCTAAGAGCGGGTAGATGGTTGACCCGCATATTCGTGCGTGCCAACCACCTCACCGCTCGTAGGATATATAAAGATTTTTTAAAAAATGTAAATTGTCTAATAATTAAAATGAAAATTATAATGTAATCGAGGTTAGCAAAATGTATGCACAACAAGTTGCATGTGAGTTTGACTTTTTCACAGTTAATAATTATATCTACACACATTTTATAAGAAAATCGAAGTATTGCTTTCATGTGTTACAAAAAAAAAAACAAAGTATATGTTTTGTAATATATATTTTTATAATTTATGGTTGTTTTAAAAAAAAAGATAAGTATATTTATGCATGTAGGTATGAGTTACAAATAAGTGAATTGTAATATTTAGGTGTTGGTAAGTTTTCTGATTTTTTTGCAAAAACACTATATTTTTACACGATGTAGTTATTGGTGTTTAACAACAATCACGAAAATCGTTTCTATTGTTTTGTATTTAATCAAAAAAAATTATTTAGTTTTATGATATATGATTTCTCAATAAAAATATAATAAACAAGGATTATAAAACTTGTGAAATAAAATTCTTCGGTAGCTCTCCGCTCATCTCTTCGTCAAATTTTTTATAATCTGTAATCACTCGCTTCCACAATCTGTAACCGAATCGTTTAAGCCAATTGGATCTAAACATATAAGTGTATGATTTAAGATGCAAAATAATATATTTAATGATTGTTATATCAAAAATTGAGAGTTGATTTGTTCCTCACTTTTATATATTTTTAATATATAATATAATGGATCAAAACATATACAAAACTTGATTTATGAAATAATGTTTTAATATGTTGGGAAAATATACGCATTAAAAAATTAATGTGTGTAAGATAATATTTTTAAATATTTCAAATAATAACATAAAATCGATCAAAATTATTTTTATTTATTTTTTTGTCTTTTTGACTCATAATTTTTTTTTCTTAACCTTAAATAATATATTATACATTAAGATTATCTCCAATGTATTTTCTGTTTTTTCCTCTAAAATATAAATGTACTTCTCTCCAACCTATTTTAATTTTACAGAAAAAGAAAGATTATTATTTTTCTTCTATAATTGGAGGAAAAAGTAATAAATTTTTTCCCATCTAAATTCGAAGATTTAAAATGAAGATGAGTTGAAAAGAAAAAACCAAAAATATAGTTAAAGATTTTTACATAAAACCGAAGTTGTAAAAATTCAGTTTTACTTTTACTTCGACTTTTTATTCTTATATACAATATTATAATAAAAAATAGTTAGCTAAGAGGATACTTATAATTTATTTTTCTATATGTTTAGTTTTTTGTTTCATTTATAATTTCAAATTCTTGCTATATAATGAGAATTTATTCACATATGACATAAACTTTTTGTTTCTTATTTAAAAATGAGATTTATTTAGTTATAACTTAACCAATCAAACATCAAAATATTTCATTTATTTTAGGAAATTTGTCATGTTACATTTATGAGATGGCATTGTTTTGCACTAACTTTTCTTAAGGTGTTGACACATATGATTTTTTTAGTAAACCTCCTTCTGAAATAATAGTTAGGATTCATTCACATATGACATAAACTTTTTGTTTCGTATTTAAAAATAAGATTTATTTAGTTTTAACTTAACCAATCAAAATATTTTATTTATTTTAGGAAATTTGTCATGTCACATTTATGAAGTGGCATTATTTTGCACTAATTTTTCTTAAGGTGTTGACACATATGATTTTTTTAGTAAACCTACTTCTGAAATAATAGTTAGGATTATGTATTAATAATAAAATATTAAATAGTTAATAATAAAAATAACGATAAATAAAAATATTATATATTTCAATAGAAAAAGAAGATTTTAAAATATTAACTAAGATTTTAAAATATTTTTTCAGATAAAAAATGTAAATATGATAATTAAATAAACAGGACACATTAAAATATATAATTATTTATTTAATTTTTATTTTTGGCCTGCACTCATGTGCAAGTATAACTTTTTTTATAGACATAATTAGTTGTAATATTTAAGTATTGATTAATTTTTTATACATTATGTTAATTTTATGTTTTTATACATATACAATTTTAGTGTTCAACAACAATTACAGAAAAGTTTCTTATTGTTTTGTGTCTTTTGAAATTTTTTTATTTTTTCTCGCATTTACAGTAACATATAATTGAAAATATATAAATTATATTAAATAATAATTAAATTCTTATAATATGTTTTGAATATTATTTATTTAATACTTTCTTTTTATCTTTACATAATATAATCTTGCCCATATATATATTTGAAATTTACATTTTTCCTTGACCTATTGCTAATTAAATCAAAAT